ATATCGAGAAATTGGAGTAGAAATGATTTTCTCCTCGGTTTCACCTACTCTACCTGTACACAACAGGTGATGCGATTGACTCTAGACACCTTGTGTGTGTGTGTGTGTGTGCGCGCGCGTGTGTGTGTGTACGTGTGGGAAGAGGAGTGTGAGTGTGTGGGTGTGTGAGTGTGGGTGTAGGTGTGGGTGTGGGTGTGGGTGTGGGTGTGGGTGTGGGTGTGGGTGTGGGTGTGGGTGTGGGTGTGCGTGTGGGTGTGGGTGTGGGTGTGGATGTGGGTGTGGGTGTGTGTGTGTGTACAGGGTGTCCGACAAGTAAATGACCAACCGAAAGGTGGAAATAGATTGGGTCAAATTGAAAAGGAAAGTCCTGTACCATTTTGCGATTTTCGTAATAATTATTGAGAAATTAATTAAAAAAGATCAGCCAATTCGCGCGAGTATAACCGCGCGGTGAGAAAGGACGGCTTGATATGGGCAGCATTGATATGTGGTTGCTAGGACGCGAGAATCTATCGTTATGTACTACTCGTACATAACTGTTGTCATTTGTAGAATGCTCCTCCCAAAACTTTGTCGTGCGCCTGCTTTTGGGTTGTCTCTTTTCGCTGTGTGCTTATACTCGCACTAATTTCTTAATAATTATTACGAAAATCGCAAAATGATGCAGGATTTTTCTTTTCAGTTTCACCTGATCTTCGTTTACCTTTCGATTGGTCACTTACTTGTCGGTCATCCTATATATGTAAATATAATTATGTTGAGCCAACTATTTTTGTCCATGCGTAGGATGTAACTGCAATATACAGGGTGTCCCAGATTATTTGGGACAATACCCGTGTGCAGATAGAGCGGACCAAACTGAGTCGAATAGTTCTCTACCATTTTTTTTTATAACGCTTAATAAAGGAATTATTATTGAGTAAAGTCTGGCCAATCAGCGCCGATCTTTACCCGGACGCACGTCGGTGAGCCGCGCGCCTGGTAGTATGCAGCAGCGCACACTTCACGGCGCGCGGCTCACCGACGTGCGTCCGGGTAAAGATCGGCGCTGATTGGCCAGACTTTACTCAATAATAACTCCTTTATGAAGCGTTATAAAAAAAAATGATAGAGAACTTTTCGACTCAGTTTGGTTCGCTCTATCTGCACACGAGTATTGTCCCAAATGATCTGGTACACCCTGTATAAATCCAGATAGCCAATTCTTTGTGAGGTTACTGCCATGTTGCCAACAATTGTCAGTTTAAACATTATTGGATAAATATGCATATTAGGGGACCCACCTCCAATGACCTTGACCTTGACATTTGATGTCGAAGTCATAACCCTGATTAATATCCAAGACATTTTTGCCGTCGCTCGTTATTTATTAAAAAGTTATTAACAATTAAATTGTACAATAAGAACAAGTATTAAATGCGATAATCTGAAGTTCTTCGAGCATGAATTTTATATTAATTGTATGTTTAAATATTTAAGTAAATGAATGGGCGGTGGAGTAGCAGGTCCAGCAGTCTTGTCAAATTTTACGTCTTCCCCGTTATTCACAAGCAGTACGTCGCGAATTATTTTTATATTTCTTTTTCTTCCCCTGACCATCCAGCTCATCATCATTAACCATAATATTATGTTAAATTATGTTATATTATGTTAAATTATCATTAATTCTTGCGTTTCTTTCTTAGTGGAAACTATTGTTATTAAGAAACAAAAATCATGAGCGAAGAAGATTCGCAATCGTCGAAATCGACGGACCCGAAAACTGGCTCGGGCGGCAGCGGATCCTTTGCAATAGATATAGGTAGATACAATCTAGACCTAACAAAAGTCTGTCTCACATACACATATACACACGCACGCACGCACATAATAAACACGCGAGTGTAAAACCCTCTATCTTCTATCTGCTTTATCGAACGCGTGGCGGGGAAGGGGCTGTGATCCTCCTTCTACATCCACTCCCTCAAAAATTCTAACCTAACTCAACCCAACTCGTAAGTTTTTAGCACCATTTAAGAAACTCCCAAGCTCCCAGCCAGCGACCTACACAGTAATTAAATTTACGACGTATGAAAAAAAATCAATTTAATTTGCTCTTTCATAATATGCATTTTTCATAATGCTCCATTTTACTTTTTTTATAAATAAGTGATAAAGTTAATAACAATGTAAACGTCAATATAAGCGAAAATCATTAGAATTTGTAGGTTCTCAAGATACAAAAAAAAATGCTCCACCTTTAAAAACTAATTATCTACAGTATTTATTATGAAAAAAATAAATAATTGCTTTATGCATTTTACGGATGTCAAGAAATTGTGCGCAAGCACTAAATATTTTTCTATAAAATGCATAAAGCAATTATTTATTTTTTTCTTAATAAATACTGTAGATAATTAGTTTTTAAAGGTGGAGCAAATTCAAACAAAAATGAAGTAACTTTTCTGTACCTTGAGAACTTGCAAATTCTAATAATTTTCGCTTATATTGACGTTGTTATTAACTTTTTATCAATCACTTATTTACAAAAAAAAAAAAAGTAAAATGGAACACATTATGAAAAATGCATATTATCAAAGAGCAAATTAAGCTGATTTTTTTCATATGTCATAAGTTAATTACTGATGTAGGTCGCTGCCTGGAAACTTGGAAGTATTTAAGAATTATACAGGGTGGGGAAAAAGTCTCGGACCCTTGAAATATCTCGGAAGGAGTGAGATATGACATATTTTGATATAAAAAATAAAATATCTCATAAAATATTTAGTTTTCGATAATCTTACAGTAATATTTTAATGTACAGGATAATAAGACAAATCAATTAGTGTAAAAAAGAAACAAATAATTGTTTAAAAAAATTCATTGTAAATAATTACAGATTTGACTTCCGTTTCCGGTGGGAAAGTGTGGACAGGGAGAAAATGTGCTTGTGGGGAAGAGGAGGAGGAGACGGGATAGGGAGAAGTGAGAGAGATCGGAAAGGACAAAAGTGAGGAGCAGGAGGAGGTGCATCAAGGTGAATAAAGGGAGATATGTGGAGTAAAGGATCGGGATAGAGGAAGGATGCAAAGGTTGGAGTGGTTTGGAGGTTAGGAAGATGAAGGAAAGAGAGAGAAAATGGAAAGAGAGAGAAGAGGAGTCACGCGGGAAGCGACGGGAGGAAGTGAGGGGAATAAGGAATGAATTAAGACTATGGAGAAAAAAGAGAGAGAGAGAGGAAGGAAAGAATAGGGTAAAAGGTCAACAGCGACTACAGAGGAGAAGAGCGAAGAAGAGCAGAAAGAGGAGAGAAAGGAGAATATCAACCCCTCTCGTAGGGACCGAACAAAGGAAAGAGAGAAGAGGTAGAAAGAGTAAGGGAGGCGACAAAGGAGGAGAGCGAGGAGGAAGAGGAAGAGAGGAGAGGGGAAATGGAGAATGGTGGAAAAAGCGAAGATGGAAAGAGGGTACGGAAGAAGCGTGGTAGTAGGCAACAAAAGGATCTGGATGGAAGAGAGAGAATGGATATGGGACGAGAGAAAGGAGATCTGGAGGAAGAAGCGAGAGGAAGAGGAGAGAAGAAGGGGAAAAAGGAAAGAGGTAACGGGAAGAAGAGACGAGAGAGAAGAGGGAAGATAGGGGAGGGGGGAGAAAAGGGAAGACGGGGAGAGGGGAAAGTAGGAAGAAGATGGTGGGACGAGGAAGGAAAGGGTGGAAAGTCTGTAAGGTCACAAAGGACCAGGTCGGGTAAAGGATATGAAAATGTATATGACGATGTATATGAGGAGGACTGTAAAGGTTTGGGTACGTTCCTGAAAAACGCCTTCAAAACCCTAAGGGGAATGAATAAATGATCTATACTATACTATAATTACAGATTTTTTCTTAAAAACAATTATTTTTTTTACGCTAATTGATTTGTCTCATTATCAGTGTTTTGAAAAGCTCTCGAGATAAGCTACAAGAATATGTAATAAAAAATGGGGGGTTCCATTTAAGAAAACATCGATCACATTGACTTCACCTTAAAAAGGTCCCTCAAGGTCAAGTCCATATTTTTATCATATGGCCCCTTCGAAACCATACAATTTTTGTTTGAAACATTTTTTTTCCATATCTCACTCCTTCCGAGATATTTCAAGGGTCCGGGACTTTTTCCCCACCATGTACACTCTGAATAATGCTTCACTTCTCGAAGAAAGATTAGATTGAGTTATAATATTTTGGGGGGATGAATGGTGCAGAGAGAAGGACTTTGCCCCTCCCTCGTCCACGCGTAAAAGCCGTAAACAGACTTTTTTAATCAAAAGTAACAGATTATTATGATGTACACAAACTTTACTGTCAAACCTTGATTTGTTATATCTCCTAAACAAATGCCGTCCTCTATTTGATTTTTCCGGGAATTACTCAGAACATCCTCCCCTACAACATATCTAGGTGGCGATAAAATCAGTGAGGTGTGATCTTTTATGCATTTCTAAACTTTTTTTTTTTTTTATCTAAAAGGAACCTATTTTCAAAATTTGACCTAAATCGGAACATTGACGTTTCCGGAAGTTTTGCCTTAAAATCTACTAAATGCCAAAAAAATTTTGAGTTATGACCTTTCATGGTATCTATTCTCATTTAAGTGGCATTTTATATTTGTTATGTGTAAAATTGCGTTTGAAACTTGGAATTCTTTTATAAACATCCTGTATTTTGCTATGTTTATATTATTATATTTGCTATATTTCTGTTATATTATATTTTAATCCTTTATCTTTAATCAATATACTTTAAATAATTAAAATATGAAAATTAAAAATTAAAAAAAATAAAAATTGAACAAATTTTTAATCAACAAGAACATGCTTAAAAATCCAATTAGATTTTAAAGTTTGACCATTCTTTTAAATGTTCAGACTCTATTCTGCGTCCACTGATATCTATAAATTGTAAGTTGGGCATAATCATAAATATTTCGTTTTTTCGTTTATCAATATTGATATTTTATTTATTATATTAATAATACAAACCTGGACAAGGCCCAGTATGTTTGATAAGAATAGCTACGCCTTGACATTGTTTAGAAATAATCTGACATTGATTGGAATATGTAATTCCGTCACTTCCACATACAGGTGTGCTCCCACCACCATTCATTGTGCATTCAGCTATTCTTTTCCTACATTCTTCCTATAATAAAAAAAATCGAATATATTAGATAACACTCACTCATAAATTCCAATTTGCAGTGACAAATAAAATACATGTAGAAAATTGATCTATAACATATAAATAGACACATACAAAATATATTTTTTCGCTCAATATATAAGTTATTTATCAAATAAACTATTCACAATTAGGAAAACACATGCACGCTTGTTATTTTTGTAGAAATATTTAAAAAATCAAGAAACACGATCATAAATTTCGTGCCAAATCATGTATATGAAACAAGGAGATAAATTATAAGCGACTTGCTTAATTGAAATATATGGATTATCGTAATATGTAAAACGATCGAATACGATTCATAACTTGGGTTCATATTATACCACAAAAGTATCTTTATTTTTGTTTGACATTTCCATTAAATAGCTTAATATCTAATGCTCTAATTGTAAGAGAAAAAGAAAGAGAGATAGAATAACCCTTTTATATTTAAAAATATTATAATGTATTATATGTAATTTAAAAATATTATAATGTAGATTTCTTGGGCAAATAAGAGCCAACCGCGGATAATGCATAAATAAAAAATTAATATTTGTTAAGATGAGTAGATATTTTTAAATCCTTAAAAAATACGGGTGCGATAAATCACTTGAAATAAATTACTCATCAAATATAAATAAATTTACTAATTTTTATATGGATAAAAAAATTAGATACTTAAAGTAGTGAAAAAATTTGTTTACTAACAATAAGATATACAGAGTAATAAAAAATGCTTTTTTTCGATTTTGTGATGTTCCAACTCACTATACGCAAGATTTCCAGCATTTTCTTCTTTAATTAAATCTTTGAAACAAAAACAAAAAAATTTATTGACAAAATGGTAAAATAATCAATTTTTTCAAAAATTTCCGATTTAAAAAATTTTTTATAAATAACAAAGTAGGGAGAGATTTTTTAACAAAATTTAAATGTAGTTCGTAGAAAAATAAGAACAACTTTTTTTATTACTATGTTGATCTTAGTAATTAAACTTTTTTGCAACTTTATCTCTCGTTTTTTTTTGTAAATGTAGAAATTAGTATTAAACAATACATTTATTTATATTTGTCGAATAATTTGTCACAAGCGATTCATCATATCCATTTTTTGTATATTTAAAGATATCTACTCCTCCCAAAACTAAATAGTTACGCATAATACAAAAACTTTTCTTGATCGATGCCACGATAAGTAAAATTATCTTAATTTGAAATTTATTTTTAATAAATCTCTTTAATAAATCTCGAGGTCTCGAGGTAGACATTAAAAGTGGATGAAAAAGTACTGACGTGTGGAAGTGAAAACAAAAGTAGCTAATTGTCTACGCTGATGTTCGGTAGCGACTTCGGTCGATAATTATCGGTATGGACGATGAATACGATAAATATCGATACTCGGCATGTAAGAAACCAATAAAAAGCCAGGTAGTGACATGCAAGACTTGTGTTAAGTTTTTTTATCATTCAGAATGTGTAAGTAAGCATAAAGTTTATGACAGAAACCACGAAGTGGTGCCGTGTCATGGCCCATTTGAAAAATTTATAATCGATAATGATAAAGAAGCAGATATAAAGAAGACATCGACATCGACGGGAAGCAATCGAGATAGGCTAGGCTCAACAGGATCTGTAGGATCGGTTACGATACCAAATAGTAGAAATAGAACAGCAGGCACGAGCAGATCATCTGATATTGACATAAAAATAGATTGGCTTGTAAGAATAGTGAAAGAAATGAAAGACGAGAGAGCATGTAAGAAGGAAGTTAAGATGATGGTGAAAGAAATAGTTCGGGAAGAATCGGGAAATGTTAAACAAGAGCTGGAAGATTTGAGGAAAATGATACAGAGAAGAGATTGTGATCCTTCAAGAAGAACGCAAAGAAACTATAGTAAAGTAGTTAAAAAGAAGAAAAAAAATATTATAATTATTAAACCTAAGGTGCGACATGAGAGTGACTCCAGTCTACTAAAAACTACTAAAAAACTGGTAAGAGAAAAGGTAGATAGATCAAGAACACGGAAAAGTTAAAGACTAATACAAACCAAGTTGGGTGATAATTTCAAAGTTATTAAGTTAATAAAACCTAAGATAAAAATTGTCAATAACAATTGGCGAAGAAGAAATAAAATTTGATGATGATAATTTAATAGATAGGGGAAAGTTGGATAAAACCGGGTAGGCGGATCAAACCGGGTACCCCTGTTTTTTCGTAATAAATGCTGCTATCTATAGCTAACTTGTGTTATTAGTTGTCGATTGGCACTATCATTATTTTAAAACAAACCGTGCCCCTGTGCATACGATATTTCTTTTTAAATAAAAGTTCAAAGTTTTTAGCCTGAAAAATCGATATCGAGGCAAGAATTGAGTCGTCGTGCACTTTTTCTATATAGAGTATATGTTTCGGTAAGTGCAGTATAGCATTCTGTACATATTAGAGAGTATATCATATTAGTTTTGATCGGCACTTTGTACGCCGAAATATACAACCGCCGTATTTGTTATTTTCCTTCTGTTGGGACAAAACCGGGCACTTACACATTTCATATAATGAAAAGAGGAAGAACTGTTATCCTGACTTTGTGTTCCTACAAAAAGCAGTTGGAAACGAAAACTAACGCTCAGAAAAAGAAACCACTAAAAAATAAGCTTTTTGAGATCCCTAAAGTTAAAAAGTTAAATAAGGAAGTCCGGCAGCAATGTCGAACAAGAGGATATCTTTATTTGTGATTTTTGTCAATAAAATACATCTTTATATTGTATTTTGATTAAAATAAATCTAAATTTTGTAATTACACGGTGTTTTGCATATTTTCAAATGGGTACCCGGTTTGACCCTACCGGTAGGATAAAACCGGGTATTTTGACTTCTCCAAAAAATCTTGTTATTCTTGGTAACCAAAAATTTTTTTTCAGCAACTAGCCTTATTTTCTCATAGTGTAAGGTTCACTAAAGACTACTAACGGTCGGCAAAATCTTTTTTATTCTCAGATTTTTTGTAAGAAGACAAATCCAAAAAAGTTTTACCCTACTTTCCCCTACAATCAAAAAGCAGAGTAAAATTGCGGTAAATGCGGGATTTCATATGCGAATATCGAAGAGAATAGTTAAAGAAAGGAGAAATGATAATGGTCAATCCGGAAGAAAAAGAATGGAAAAAGATTCTGTAATAATTGAAGCAGATGAAGAAACACATGAATTAATGTTGAGTAAAGAAAAACTAAACGTAGGATAGAAAAAATGTCCTGTATTCAATCATACAATATTAGTGTTAAAAGATATTTTAAATGCTATTATTATCATATTGCAAAAAATTATATACGAAATATGCCACAAATATGCAGGAAATCATAAAGCAAATGAATGCACAGCAACTAAGAAAAGATGTGTAAATTGTATGTTTAAAATTCAAAGATACAACTTAAAAATAAGTGATGAGCATGACGCTCTTGACCCGGAATGTCCGATTTAAGAGGGCGATATAGAAGGAGAAAAGGAAAGTCGGCTGGGAGGATAATAACAATAAGTAACAACTACAGAAGGAAGAGGATACAGCATCAGACATGAAAATAATGAATCATGCATAGCACTCGAAGACTGGATTGACTGCTGGATTGAAAATTGCAATACAATTTCGTAGAACTATGAATTACGAGTGCACAAAAAGAATATATTGTACGAAGGAGTAAATGTGTATAATGCCTTACCAACTGAGATAAAACGATGGAAAGAAATGGAGCTGTTAAGGCAATTGTTAAAGGAGTATATTGTAATTAATGTAAACTAGATCTGTATTACAAATAGCTGAGAAAGCTAATAAAGATCAACCGATGAATCTCTCCCCCCTCTCTCTCTCTCTCTCTCTCTCCCCCTCCCCCTCCCTCTCTCCCTCTCACCCCTCTCTCACCCCTCTCTCCCCTCCTCTCACCCCTCTCTCCCCTCTCTCCCTCTCTCTCTCTCTCTCTCTCTCTCATGCTACTAAATATATAGAGATGAGAATTGTTGCAAATTTTGATCTAATTATCGTCATGAACCCATTGTTTCCCCTCTCCCCATACTGCTCGCATATTAGCCGATATTGGACGAATTGCCGGACGCGTGTAACTCGTAAGACGCGCAATACTCAAGTCAGGAGCGCCTGTATCAAAAATGCAATAACATCGTATTCTCCTAGGTATCATAAATGCAATAGGATAATAGGATCATATTCTCTTAGGAAGACATCTTACCGTTTTTCATTAAAATTAAAGAGGAAATGTTTTATATTTAATTAATAATGAAAATCGTGCTTTCCGTATTATAATGTCAATCGCCTGTATTATTTGATATGACTGCAATAATGGAAAAAAAGAGAAAAATCAAGAGCGTTAAATAAAGTGTTACAAAAAACCTTTAATTGTTATAAAATATATAGGTTAATTAATTAATAATACAAAAAATACATATAGTTTTAATTATTAATAAAATATTTTCTTACAAATTTAATGAGAAAGGAAAAGATGTAATATCTAGGGGAGTACGATTCCATTGCACATGTAATACGGACGCTCTTGAGACTGAATATTGCGCGCCTTAGTTACGCGCGTCCGGCGACTTGTTGCTAACATGCGAATAGCAAGCGGGTAGTGGGCGTCAATCACGAAATCGAGCCGAAAAGTTACAACTAAAAAAAGCCATTTCTATAGGGTGTCTGGTAAAGATTGTGCCAACGCTCGTGAGCGGGTAGAGCACAGTAATCTGAACAGAAAAGTCCTGTAACATTTTTTTATATAACGCTTAATAAAGGAGTTATTATTGAGTAAAATCTGGACAATTAGCGCCAATTTTTAGCCGGACGCACGTGGGTGAGCCGCTCGCCTGATAGTATGCGGCGGCGCACACTTCACAGCGCGGGGCTCACTGACGTGCGCCCGGCTAAAGGTTGGCGCTGATTGGCCAGACTTTACTCGATAATAATTCCTTTATTACGC